TGCCTTGTTATCCCCATGGTGCACAAGCTGCGCACAAGCCGAGCTACGCGTATGATCAGTTGACCTTTAATAGATGATTGGGTTGCCCCACTATTGCCTTGAAAGTATATGGCGGGTGGTTGCCCTCTATTGGCCTGATGGGCCAGCGCCCCTGCTTCTAATGCCTCATCCCATAATTCCCTCGTGTACAGCGGTGTAGCGAGTCAAGCCAACTGACCAGGAAGCAAAGGTTTGTGTAGCTTCAACTACTATAGGGGGTACCTTTGCCCACCCAAGTAAATTCCTCTGCCTCTTCCTCTGTCTACAAATTCTGCTGCGCGCTACACTATAACCGTGTAGCGCCCCCCCACCGTTTCGAGATGGCCCTCCTTTTTGGGCGCAAACCACATTGTATGCCTCCACACATTAATGATGGCTTTTATCCCAAAATCCTTGTCCTACAAAATGTATAAAAACCAAACTGTAACCCAGCCCACAGGCGAGTCCCACTTGCCCAACGGCCTCCTTGGCACGTGGCTCCGGGCATGGTCGCTCAAATTTGGCTGCAGGAAGTAGAATCTCTTTAAAATTACTTTTTGCAACTTGGCTTTCTTATACCGTTGGAACAAAGGTATCTCCATATTCGCTTACTAAAAATACTATTAAATCATGTTTCTCTAACCAACATGTGACCCCTGAAAACATTATTGCTCGGTGAATCCTAGAGAAGTGTGTCCATGTGCGATTTGACCGCAAAGACCACTCTGTTTGTTGGGGTGGCAGTGTGTCCTTATTTTTTATCTTTGAGACAGGCCAGTCTCACTTTGTTTGCCAAGGGGCTTAGAGAAGTTGCTGTGGCATCAAGCGCTAGCTCATAGCAACCTGCAAAACTTCCTGCGGCTCGAAGCAACTCCTTTCCTGGCCTCAGCCTCCCAAGTAGCTGGGATACAGGCATCGTGCCCACCATCCCGGCTATTTCCCTTTGCTGTATATATTAGTTGGACTAATTAATTTTCTTCGTATTTATAGTAGAGACAGGGTATCACTCTTGCTCAGGCTGGTTTCAAACTCCTGACCTTGAAGCAATCACCCGGCTCCTCCGCCTCCCAGACATCTAGGATTACAGGTGTGAGCCACCTCGCCCAGCCGGGTGGAGTGTTCTATAAATGCCTGTGAGGTCCAGCTGAATTACAGTGTTGTTCAAGCCCCTATTTCCTTATTAAGCCTCTGTCTGCATATCCTATCCATTATTGAGATTGGTTGACTGAAATCTCCAAATATTATTATAGAATCTTCTACTTCTCCCTTTAATTCTGCCAATGTTTGCTTCCTATATTTTAGGAGCTCTGTTGTTCGTGCATGTAACTGTAAAATTCTTAAATCTTCTTCATGAATTAACCCTTTAATTAATACACAGTACCTTTATCTCTTGTACCAGTTTTTGACTTAAAGTATATTTTGTCCAATAATTGATACGCTTTGTAAGGGCTGGTTTTGGGCGGGCCACCTCCCTTTCCTGGCATGCAAAAAGAGAAGACTCATGAGACCAGACCCGCGCCAAGGACAAAACGTCCAGCGCCTGCTGAGAGGAAATCCACCCACCCAGATGTCCACCTAAGATAAGAAGTTTTTGGCTCCGGAATTTCCACAAACACTCACAGCCCGTCCTAAAATCCGCCAGCTCTTCGCCCCAAAAATTCCGCTGCCAGGACCAAAGGAAAATAATAAAAGGCTGCAGCCCCTTCAACGCGCGAACTTTCCGGGCCCCTGCTCTTTGAGGCGCCCAGAAAAACCTCCGTCCAGCCGAGTGGTAAATAATAAAGCCACGTGTTTTTTGCCCCCGCCCCACTCCTTCTTGCTTTCTGTGTGGGTCTCTTTCTTTTCTCCACGCCGAAAAACCTTACAATAGCCACCCCAACTCTCTTTTGGTTACTACTTGTATGCTGTATCTTTTTCCATCCTTTTACTTTCAAGTGTGTCCAACCAGCCCAGAATGAGTGAGCATGAGGTGCAGGCATGGCACAAATGGCAGGGAAAATAACTCTCAGTCTGTTTGGAACATCATTTACTAGTTGGAGATGCTTCTGGAATAGGCCCTGGTATACTTCCACCCATGGTTTACTAAAAGTACCTGAGATAAAATCTCTGGGAAGTCTTCTGGGTTAGTGGCAGCCTTCTGAGGAGCCGGTAAGACGGGTGGATTTGCTGGCTTCAACCCAGGGATCTCTGGCCTCACCTTCTGCTCTTCTGTCGGCCTGTCACTCAGAGCTGAACAAGAGAATCTACTTTATCTCAAACATGTCACAAGGCCTGGAAGAGATTTAAACACCTTCATCGAAACACCTGGCAGGTGTCAATCATTACAAAACAACATAATGAGACCCGAAAGTCACTGAAATGAATTCAACAAAGGCCAAGGGAATGA